TCCGTTGCCGGACACGAAAAAAGACAAAAAAAAAAAAAAAAAAGAAGTAATAAAGAGATAATTTATATATGAATAATGATGTATATGACTAATTTTGGTTAATTATTTAAATATAATTTTAATTGTAAAATGTGTGTGTATATCTTTTGCTTTTCTAATTACTTGATTTTGGTTTTGACCAAAGTAGGAGAGAGTGAAGAAGTGATTGGGAAAAAGATTTACTGGAATTCTAGAAAATCCCGTTAGGAAATTTTCAAATCATTTGGTACACACAGCAGCTTTTAAAGCAGCTTTACTTAAGCCTCAAAATTTTCAAACAGCTTTTACTCTGATTTTGGTCTTTGAGTCAGTACTACAAGAATATTTTCTCATTGCATGGGAGGGGGAAACACTTTAAAATGGAAAGAAAAGCCCATACCAGCTGTGAATTTTCAGCTAACCACAAAACTAGATTTGTGTTTGTATGTATGTTTCACTTCCAGCCAGAATCCCTTCACATAGCTGTCAACTTCTTTTCCCCATATAAATAGCATGACTGTATTTTTAAAATAGGGTTGAGGGATGCTACAAAGAATTCCTGGCCCCAAGGCCACAGGAATTACTGTTCATCTGCATAATATGACCGTGATTTATTAAAGGATACTTCTATGTTTTAGGCAGTTTTGATTATAAGCAAAGATTTGAAGAAAACACAAAGATTAATTAAGGTGAAGTTCTTAATTTACTTTTTGACTTATTATGTTTCCTAAAAAATTATTTTAATCCCCTAGTATTTTTTTATATGATGTTTTTCATTTCTGATTATTAAAATAGAAGAAAATTTGAACAGCTGAAATGTCCACTAGAAGGGGATCAAATATAGTGCAAGGGTACTTTTAAAAGTTCATGGAAAGATTTGTGTTATCTTTCAATTCTATTTGTCCACGAACTTTTTTTTTTTTTTTTTTTTACTGACCAGTAACCAGATCGCAACCCTCAGTGTCGCGCCCGCACAGGGGACCGGCAACGGGATCGCAACCCTCAGTGTTGCGCCCGCACTGCGCTCAGCCAGTGAGCGGGAACCGGTCTCCACATGGGATCCAAACCCTCGGCGGGAGTGCCACCAGGCCGGCCCTGTCCACGAACTTTTTGAAGTACCTTCGTATAGTATGCAATCTTTATAAAGACTAAAATGCTTTTTTATTTACTAACATAAGGATATATTTATGATAGATTGTTTGATATGAAAATAACCTTTAATAGTGGTTGCCTAGATGAAAGGAAGGTAATGAGGGACTGTTTCTGAGGGACCTAATATTGGACGGAAAATGCACAACATTCACTGAAAATCTGTGGATGGCTTAAGTACATGTAACTAGCACCCAGGTGTCAATCTGTATACCCAGCAGACAAGAGTCAGGTGTAAGAGAGGTGGAATGATGACAGAGGGAGAGACCACCTCATGTGGCATCAGAGGAACCTAGAGTTGAATCCAGGCTCTGTCACTTAGCTCAGCCTGCTTATGCATGTGTCCGCATATATGAAATAGAGATAAAAACGTCTATCTAGCCAGTTTGTTGCCAAAATATATTTTTAAACCCTAACACAGGGCATGATCCAAGATGTATATTCAACATAAGTTATCTCCTCTTTGCGCTTAACTCTAAACTGTCTCTTCTCAGGGAAGAACCTGAGAGACTCATCAAACTCATGGCCATAGAGCTGAGTAGTGACTTGTCCAGGGCCCTACAACTAGTTAAAGAGCTGAGACCAGCACCACGTTTCCCAACAGTCAACTGAATATTCCTTTATCAAATAATGCAAAAAGATGCTGAAATTTTGGATATGCTGGTTGTAAGATGAGGTGTGTGAGCACTTTGAGCAAGAATAGCTTTCTCTCAGAACTTTCTGATTCATTGGTACTTCATGATATGAGGATTGCTGGGCCTCTATTACACACCGGGCCGTAGGCTACCAACGTGTCTATGCGAACTGTCTCAGAAACTTATTCTAGTTGTTTCTCTGGATCCTTTCCTAGTGTTAATCACTTTCTGATTCATTGGTACTTCATGATATGAGGA